ACATATAGGAAATATAGCATACAAAGTCTCGAAAGGACTGATCATCCTTTATCAATTTCTTAAAAGTACAGCATTTTATCCTTATTATCTTAAAAAACGTCTCAGGGCATTTTTCACCAGAAATATGCCGTACTGAGAATAAAGATGTTACAGCACACTCATAAAATAACTTTCAGGCAATAAACAATTTCAAGTGTTTGGCAAAAGGCTGCGAAAAAGAAAAAACAGAAACCTGTTGTTTTTGAGAAAACCGATGTGACCCTCTGGCTGAATAACCGCGAAGCTTCCACTAAGCAGCGTTACCACTCCGCGAAATATTTTAATATTTTCGAGTGCTGTATTTGCCGATATCGGGACAATAACTGATCCAGTAATTAAGTCGCGCTCAGCCTAAACAGTCATTTTCTACACGCCTTTTTTGCAAAACAAAATCTCACAGTGCCGATTAGATCCCAACAAAGTTAACCTAAATCTACAAGTAAATTGCTTGCTATTGGTTTTTTTAGTGGCACTATTACTTATATATATATTATGAGCGTACCAGTGTATAAATTTTCCACTAAACCAAACCATTTTGTAATTTAGCTGATTTAGCTATATGTCATACATTGCACGCTTACTTAGCGGTAGTTAAGATCAACAAGATCCGATTCCGGAACTGTAATTATGAAAATACACAATACTGTTAAGCAGTCTGCGGTGAAGTGAACTTCAGCAACAACAGCAGATTAATGTCCACAGAAGACATGGGCGTTAATGTTCACAGAATAATATCCACAGAAGACATAGACGAAAACTAGTTGGCAGCGCACAGGCTGCTGGTGTTAAGATGCGTTTTTTGCATAATTCCCCCGCTGGTTTTTTTATTGCTATTGGCACAGTTTTTTTCGCTAGATGCTTCTAGCTAAGAGAATTACGAGTAACCACCACGACTATTAGAAATTATTACAACGATTTCCAACCCATGCCCAAAAAATTCACCACTCTACGTGCTTTTGGGCAACATTCAGAAACTTTCAGCACTCCACTGCTCTGGTTGCGGAGTTACGTCAAATTTCACGTGTTCGTCAGGCAGCGTCAATGCTCTCTTCGCAAACGATTGCTCAAACACGGTCCTGGACAACGTTCAGAAAATTTTAGTGCTCTAGCTGTTTGGCTGCGAAGTTAAGCCAAATTCCACATGTGTGTACGTAGGGCGTGAAAGTGATGTGCAAATCGTTTTTATGTCGATCTGGTCAAAGACCACCGTGGGTAATGCTCAGAAAGTTCCAGTCCTCTATCTGCTTCAATTCTGAATTTACAAAAATGCATGCGTGGAATTTCCACGTGTCCGTAATGTGAGATGCAGAACGGTTGGAAAACTCAATTTACTTCCACGAGCACGCCAATGGGCGACAATTAAAGCTACAAAACTGAACCTTTCTACAACTTCTCGGTCAGCTTAAATCTTGAGTTGGCATGATGCCAGTTTAAGCTCTGACATGTGCTCACGTGCGACCTAGGTGTGCGTGAAGACTGAAATTGTAATCTTTGCATTAGGCGCGGCAAAAAACGCCTTTAGGAAGTTCCAGCCTCCTAGCTTGCGCCGTCCCCGAAAACGATTTCTTGGTAAAAAAAACTTTTACGTGCCTGTACGTGAGAATCACACGGAAGTGGGCGTTCATTTTGAGGACAGAAGCCTGCACGTATGTGTAGATTAAGTTATCAAAGTTTCAGCCTCGTAGCTTTTGTGGATCCCAAAATGAAAACTCGTTACAGACGCACACACAGACACACATGCATACACACACAGACAACCCTTCGACAACGTGCGTTTTCGCATTGTATAGATGCAAAAAACGCATGATGAGAGTGTGATGCTTTAATCGATGTGGGACTTCGCTATTTATGTGAAAACGAGAGAATAAAGGAATGGTTTTTGTTGGATTCCGTACTGACTACAACAGCTCTATATGGTACAGAAAAAAGACGAAGAGAAATATAGCACCCCCACAGATTAGTAATAAACTGAACAAACTGAATAATCAAACGCAACCAACATCAACACATCACAAAATTCTACGAAGTTTTATTTACTTTCTACGCAGCCGACTTAAACTTTTTGTTCAGAGAAAACATAAAATTTTGTCCGATATTAAATAAATCGCAGAATTTTGTTCGAAACAATCGCAAAATT